TTCTGACAAATTAAGAGAATTATGCAATCTTGAGATCTTGAGGGATTTAATATCCGCTTTTTTGGCTCACCGTGACTGCATGACTGTCAGAAAAAATACCATGCCAGCGTTGATGACTTGATAAAAATTTACAAATTTTCATAAACTTAAGGCGAGCTAAACCTTTAGAGCAGATGCACAGGCGCTTGAAGATGTCTTCCTTGCGTGAAGGCGCAACATGCAGATTAGAGTCATCTATAAAATCGGGAACCAAATTGCACAAAAAGTGGCTTTCAAAAATAAAATATTTCAAATTCTTAAATTTGCTTTGAACATTTAATTAATGGATTTTTTAATTCACTGATCTCTGCTAAGCCATTCAAGTTTAAACCCATTAGGACATTTTGCTAAAAAGGTCACGTCTCATAAATCTGAAAATATTAATCAAGAGAGTTATGAGATACTCTAAATTGGAAAACATTGATCACAGCTTGGCCATTGGATACATTCACCAAAGAAATACAACAGTATATATTTTAAAAACTCATAGAAATCATATAAGCAAACATCACATGGAAAAAAATCAATTTAATAGCCATTGTGCCCGATTGGATGATGGAAGCCAAGTGATGTTTGTAAGCAAGAAGAAAGTAAATATTTATCTCACCGACGTCCCTAACAATGGTACTGCGGTCCCCCTAGACGAACCAAGGCTCTACACTGTCATATCAGTGTGAGGATCAAAGACAGGTTTGGTGTGCATCTGCTTCAACATCAACAACACCTCAAGGACACTGCTATAAACAGATGCAATGATACAGTCATCTCAAAGTGCTCTTGTATTTCACCGTGTACCCAAGTTGGGCCCACATTGGCTCAAGCACAGGACACCATGGGGGGCTTTTTGACAGTTTTTGACGAAGTAATTAGTATCTACCCTGAAGGGGCAAAAAAATGGAGGCAAGCTTTTGGCAGGAACTGTTGCCGAATTGCTGACAAAATCGCTCCCTTTCCCAGCTTCCACAATAATAGTGTAATTACGACTAATTAAATTGAGGTAGGCTCCCCGAGCTGTATGAGAGGCTTAAAAAGATCAAAGGAAGGGTGATGTAATCAAAGGCGGGTCCGGAAGGCGGGAGTGAAGGAGTTGACAATAATAGGCTGGGCGTCTCAATGAGTCACAAGTCACAAGGAGGACCTCTCTCCGAGATCCACGGGACACACAGAGCCACCAAACCTAGGTGCACAGCGACACTCGTAATCCAATTGGGCTCCATTTGGAACCTTTCATCCCCGTTAGTGTGAACAATTTCCCCTGCCGTTGGTGACGAAGTTTACTGCTCGGACGTGAACTCTCGTGTGATGAAGGTGGACATTTTGAAGCGAAGTCCTCAACTCGACAAGCTTGTAGCGTGTCATAAATGTCTTGGGATTCACCTCCAAGTGATCATCCCTTCAAGTGGAAAATTTAAAACATTGAAACTAAATTAGGATCAAACTAATCTATTTTTCACGAACTAAATTCATGGGAGTAAACGAACCCATAGAAATATTAATTTTTCATGCATTTACTAATAGCTGGTAGGCCTACTTATTTTATGCAACTCAAGAATAAATATGTGTTTGTTGTGTAACAGTAACACCACACCCAGCAATATTCAAGCTATATCACAATATATCAAATAATCCAGTCCAGCCCAGACAATCCAGTGATCAAAATTGTGAGCAATGGGGTACGAAGGTATGGAATAAATAAAGACACCAAACCTGGCCACCCAATCCCTTTGGTCTTACAACCAGTACAAGTAGCTGGGGGCTATTCTGAACCTGACTATCTAGGGTTCGGCATTATCTACAAACTACATGATTAAAAATAAAACTTGCTACAAGGTGTATAGATAGAAATACCAACCAAACCATTAGTTGTGGTATAATCACACCAATACGTTTTTCCTGTAAATTTGCGGCCCATTACAACCAAGTTCCAACTGTGCTTATCTCTTTAAATTCCTTCAAAACAATCCACTTGAAATGGCCCATAAAGAAAAGATAGCGCATCAGCTAGTCAATATGCGAAAACGGCAGAATATCGGAACTCAAGTGGAAGGAAAGAAAATGGCCATTGTGACAATTGGACTGAGTGGTGGACAAAGCCATCTGGGATGCGTCCAGGACATCTGAGGACAGGAGGACGCTGCAAGGGAGAGGAGGACGACACATTGGGCCTATTGCTTGACACCTCACGGTCAGCCGGCCAGATTGCAGCTAGCCCTTGGACACACTTGAGGAAAATTAATGTTAGCTTTTGTCCAGATCAAAGACAATTTCTATCTGCTTCTTTGCACCCATTGTGAAAGGACAATGTGGACGCCGACCCAACTCGACCCGTTACAGCAGAGAACGTGTTTTACGATTGCCCTCCACCTTTCGATCTGTGCTGCCTCGTCCCCCTGATTTAGTGCCCATGGTAATTGCTAGTTTTTCTTTCTAGTTGTTTGGATTATAAGCCATGACTGGTGGCCTTTCCATGTGGTGTAGATTTGCCATTGTGCCTGGCTGTTTCAAGCCTGAATTATAGCATTTGTTCTTGGTACAATATGCCCATTACACTTCTTTGTATTTAAGGCCACTTTCCACAATGGCTCATTCTGATGCATGGAGAGAGACTGCACATAAATCCTGACTTGTTTCTCGGAGAGCTGCTCCAAGAACTCCCACTGTGCCTTCTTAATTTCATCATGCCTTTCTTATATACTACTCAAAAGAAGTTTAGGACCACCCCAATTCTTTCATATCACTGTAGTTAATGTCATGCTATGACAGATTAACTATAGTAATATGAAAGAATCAGAATTTCCTACCATCTTTTGAGTAGTATACACTGCTCTGAATAGACTTTTCCAAAACTAAAGACGAAGATATGTTCAACAATGTCTACATCTCACTGTTAAATCTCTTAAATTCAAACTGTTGTGGAAAAATTTGAATTATTAATTCCAAGATTTGTTTCTTTTCAAAACAAACTTTATATATGTCCTCATGATATTCATAAGTTTCGAAATATTGAAACCACAAAATTAATTCAAGCCACAAATCTGAAATAATTCCAAATCAGTTTAGGGTAATAGTTGGCCAAACCAAAGCCATCAGTTACTAGTATTCATATAATTAGTCATTTTTTTTCTTCTTTTTGTTCCCAGTCAGTCATAATAGCATTGAAAGAAGCTCGGCTAGTTTATCACCAGTCTTGGCCATGAAACACACAATGGTATTAACTCACAATGGAACGAGGCTATAATAGCCTCCGACCCAAAAAGCAAAGTAGGTCTTAGTGGGAGGTACAAATAGCAGATGCTAATGAGGCCAACTCGTGCGAGAGTAACAGATTTAAACTGGAGACAAGACACAGGCGTATTTACTCTCTTGACGAACTCTGGCACTCAAAAAATACAGTAGCTGAGGTGGCACATCAAAAGAAAGTCAACGGGGGAAGGGGAAAAGGAGGGGGACTGGACGAACCAAGGGGGACCGGGGACTTGCATCTGTTTCTGACAGGAATCCATTAGGCTCGGGATTAAGTCACTAATTCACACACACAATCACAAGATGGAATGGTGTTTGCAAATCTTTTTACAGACAATAGATTGTTTTTGAAAATTTAATTAACACATAAAACAAATGAGGAGGCCAGTAAAACCATACACATTCGAGAAGATGTCTGCAGACGGACTGAGGCTGAAATTCGGAGAGTGCCACGAACCTCGCTAAATGCATCAATTTCAATCATGACAGTCAAAACTGAATTTGAACTCTGATTCAAGCAACCGATGAACGTTTGTGGGAAAGTGAGCGAAAATCTTACGTCAATTATCTTGAATTTATTTTCCAGACTTTAATGGGAGGCTCGGTGATTTTCCTTTTTTTGAACCTCATCCATGTAAAGACCAATGATTTGGTTTCATTTAACTTTCAGACTTAAAAGGAAAATATTCAAGGAACCCCTCTCTCTTGTATTTGAGACAGAACTCGAAGGTCGTAATTCTGTCAACTGTTACGAGGCTGGGTATTACAGAATATTTCAAGAACAAGACACTTCAGACCCCAGATACAAAGTGTTTGAATAATTGATTGATTACAACTTCAAAGGAGAGTCCTAATTCCTTGCTAAAGTTTATCATTCAGCCGAGGAGCCTTATGTTGTTTGTTTGTCAAGTAACACCACACTCAGCAATATTCCAGCTCTACAGCAGTCTGTAAACAATCAACCAGACCATCCTGTGATTGACATTATGAGCATCGATCAATACAGATGATCATGCATCAACCGAGACAGCGAATCTGACCACCCCATTCCGTTACTCGCCTCTTATGACGAGCAGAAGACCAGTATTTACCTGGATCTTCATGGGGGGGGAGATGAGCATGGGTTGATGAAGATTGCAGATGGAGGATGTTGAGCATGTCCCCTCAATGATCTAACCTCTGAGGGTAAAGTGCTGCACACTAATCATTATCAGCTTTTCTGTTAGTCCAAGGCTACTGATAATCGCGATGGACTAGTTGTTTCTACTAAAATCTAGTTATTTTACATGGTTTGAATGAGCTGAGGACTAGTTGGATATGATTGCCATACAACTCCCAGATCTAATGTTTTTCATTTCACACCACATGGGACACCAATCTCAACTCCTTCGGGAGAGTTGAGTGCCGACACTGTTTTTTGCCATAACACCCTGTGAGGCGTCAGTGTTGGCCAACTGACTAGTCCTCTTTCTCTTATACAGCATCATTCTCAGCTCCTTGGGGAGAGTCCAGTGCAGACCCTTTTATTTGCTGCACCCCATGAGGTACAGTCTTGTCCAAGTGGCCAGTCCTATTCAAACAATACAATCAATCTCAGCTCCTTGGGGAGAGTCCAGTGTTCACAAACCTACCTGGTACCAACATACTGAACAGAAACACAAGGACCACAAGTAACCATGACAACGGATCGTGAAAGATAAACAGGAATGTATTCCTACCTTAATAATTCTGTCATAGGTCTTCAAGCCATTATTATCTGCAGGTCCATTCTCTGTGACTCGAGACACAACGATGCCATCCGAAACAGTCTGGTTGTTGTTATTCTCGGGCTGAAAAAAACATCAACATTAAACGACGAGAAAAACAACTCTTAAACTGCATGTCGTAGACATAATTTTTCATAAAAGATAAAAACTTCAAAAGGACTTTCTCAAAATGTCTAAAATGGATCAAAATGCTTTTGGTAGTTCAAACCAAACAGCCCTGACACAATGATAGTTTTTTTAACAGTCAACAGACTCATCTCATTCCTTGATGAAATATTTTCTTTGTTCCGTTCGAAAATTCTATATCAATAACTTCCAATTGTAAAATGTGCCTTGAAGTCCCACGAATCCAATAACTTTATCAAATTCCCAAGATCAAGCAACCTGCCATTTCTCAGATCTCCCAAGTCTGACTCAAGTCGTGTATGTCTTCTACATTACCAGCCAACATCCGCATGCTTCAAACGTTATCCAACATGTTGCGATACAGTGAATCACGCCCACCAAGAAAGTGCCTTCAAGAGCATCCTCATCCACTACGGACATACTATTAAACTCCAATAAAACATGATGGAATTTCACCAATACCAGAAAATGGAAATGGGCAGCGGCACCAAGCATGAAATACATGGAAAGGGGCAATTTTGCGACAATTTCTCCTGAAAGGGGAAGCGAGGGGGTTACATTGTGTGAGTGAGGGCCTTGAAGACAGCGAATGAGTCATTCATGATTAGATCGCTGGCAGTGGACATGTGCCTAATCAAATATCTCCTCTCCAATACTGATGCGTGGAACATTACTTAGCCAATTGACAAAATGACACCATTTTCCAAATTATTTCTTTCATTGATGTCTCTGATGATATTCTTCTTATGCTTTTATCGAGTTATGTTTGACACATCAGATTTGAAACTCTGTTAAACGGTTGTAACGATTCCTTTATCATGTTATGTATTATGCTATCTCAATCTTACTCACCTTTTCTACTTGATGTATCCAAATAACATCTATCACAAATAAATATTCGTCAACACCAAGGTCCTACGTAATTACCGGCCTACTTTTTTCTGAGTCACTATATGTGCTTAAAGTGGACAATCTCATAATTGCTTATAACAGCCAGCACTTATGGAAACTATCAATAAATGGATTAATAATCCCCAAGTTTAACAAGTGTCAGTTTTTTTCTCGTGGATTACAGTATTTGGCCCTTGGAATCTTTACGAGGAACAAAGTGAGTGAAATATTCTGATGGATTACGAGTACGCTCACGACGTGCCTAAATGATGCCTCTGAACAGGGCTCATTTAGTATGCCCTCGCTGCATCATTATGGGTGCTCTGCATTTAGCAGAATCAAATAGGCTGCGTCGAAAATAAGTGACCTGTTCAAAGTGAGGCCATGATTCGGGAGGTTTCAAACTAAAAATCCATTTTCCTCATCACTCAATTTTATTAATTGAAACTGCAAAAAATCAATTATGAGGATGGAGATATGGAATCCAGAGTCACTGTAGGCAACTGGGGCATTGATATATCAGACATTTTTCAAGATGGAGGATCACATCTCCTGTTGAGGTAGAGAATTTTACGAGTCTTATTTCTGTTGGTTTTAAACAATGATTTAACAGAAGTCATCTCAATCAATGCGGACGAATGAAAATCACAGGTTGCAGATGACTAAAATGTTTGTGAACCTGTGAAAATTGATGTGGTGTTGTTAAGTTAGGGACCAGAATTCGTGAAGGGCTCGGATTCAAACCAACACCTAGCAAATTCTTGCAGCTAAGGGAAGTAACTCTGCACAGTAAGTTTCAGTACCTTAGACTACTGGAATATGATACAGAATACTACAAACATACAAGACTATTGTGCATCAGAAACTTCATTACTACTGCTGCAGCTGCTGCTACTACTACGACGATGACATCTACTACTGCTACTACGACTGGTACTACTGCTACTACTAGTAATACTACTACTACTACTACTAAGAGTTTCATTAATTGGCATATGTCAAATACAAAAGTCACTGAAAAAAAGTCCACTCTGCATTATCTTCTTGAACATTAAAAGACATACTGAATGAAATCTGATTGAAGTCTTTCCTTTCAAAGCTTTATTAATATCAATTTGAGCATCAGAAACTTTTTCACATCATTTAATATATTTGACAAAAATAGCAAAAAAAATATTTCTGATCTCTTTCCACAAAAATGTCTCCAATGAAAGAAGTTTTTTCAGACAGAATTCATTACAAAGGATTTGTTATATCATATGCATATTAAACCTACACTTTGATGTCTAAAAAAAAAAGAATAAAAAGCTCGCACATGCCTTGCAACTCAAAGAATATGATGACAAAGCTGAGAAATATCGGATAAATTGACAATGATTTATCTTTGAAATGAAGCAGTTGTAGGATGATACTATCACAGCATGAAGGTATGCGAAGATGGATCGCAGTAATAAGCTGCTATTGTGAATTTCATAGTCCCTTGATATTTCTCGCACTGATAGATCAGTTTTTGTCAATCATCAATAATCACAAAAATAATTTCCTTGATCAAAAGCTTTTGTCAATATCCTTCAGCCATTATGAACTAAATGACATGGAATCAACAATTAAAGTTAATAGTGATTCCGGCTGCAAGACAAACACATTTTAACAGGCATTGTCTCGAAAGGATTGGGTTAATATGCTGTTAGTTTCAGTTGCGAAACATTTGAAATCCTCAGAGAAACATTATACATCATCTGTTAAATGTTATGTTTACATGGGGTATCATTTTGAAACATGTCAAGAAGGTTGATGGGTATTTCAAAAGTGACACACGATAATTTAACTCCTAAAATGTGCTAAATGCATTGTGGCTCACTTTGCGTCCAGCCATTAAACGGTCATGTTTCTGGCCGAGCGATTCCTCTTTGATTAAAAAAAATCAATTTTGGAAATACATAGTCGTTATCTGCAAATTTTCCTAATCAAATTGATATTTGATGCCAACAAGTGTACTTACTGACATGACAATTATGCAGTGTTCCAGCTAAGATGTCAAAGAAGTGGGTAAGGCCAGGAAGAGTTCTGTTAATGACCATAGCAAGTATCAAGGCTACACTTCCATGGCAAACCTTCACCGCAACCTTTCCTTATTCTGATAATGAATTCGCCTGTGACTTGGGCGTAATTGACCAACTGGTCCCTATGGTGGCCAATGTTGCATTTTATGGACGTCTCTTTGTGCCAAATTATTGCTTCACCAACAAACATTCTGCCAGGCTTTCTGAACCTCGCATGGGCTTTCAAGCAACTGTGAAGGGGGAAGTTGCTGGAGCAGGTTTTTAGTCAGGGGAGGGAGATGGTGTTCCTGCACAGGGGGGTTGGGTGGGTCAGGTTTTTAATAGGGGCGGGACTGGTGTTCCTGCACAGGGGGGTTGGGTGATGAGGTTTTTAATAGAGGTGGGACTGGTGTTCCTGCGCATGGGGGTTGGGTGGGTCAGGTTTTTAGTCAGGGGAGGGAGATGGTGTTCCTTGCACAGGGGGGTTGGGTGGGTCAGGTTTTTAATAGGGGTGGGAATGGTGTTCCTGCACAGGGGGGTTGGGTGGTTCCGGTTTTTAATAGGGGAGGGAGATGGTGTTCCTGCACAGGGGGGTTGGGGGGTTCCGCTTTTTAGTCAGGGGAGGGAGATGGTGTTCCTTGCACAGGGGGGTTGGGTGGTTCAGGTTTTTAGTCAGGGGAGGGAGATGGTGTTCCTGCACAGGGGGGTTGGGTGGTTCCGGTTTTTAGTCAGGGGAGGGAGATGGTGTTCCTGCACAGGGGGTTTGGGTGGTTCCGGTTTTTAGTCAGGGGAGGGAGATGGTGTTCCTGCACAGGGGGGTTGGGTGGTTCCCGGTTTTTAATAGGGGTGGGACTGGTGTTCCTGCACAGGGGGGTTGGGTTGGTAAGGTTTTTAATGGGGTCTGGGAATGGTGTTCCTGCACAGGAGGGTTGGGTGGGTCAGGTTTTTAGTCAGGGGAGGGAGATGGTGTTCCTGCACAGGGGGTTGGGTGGTTCCCGGTTTTTAATAGGGGTGGGACTGGTGTTCCTGCACAGGGGGGTTGGGTCGGTAAGGTTTTTAATGGGGGTGGGAATGGTGTTCCTGCACAGGGGGGTTGGGTGGGTCAGGTTTTTAATAGAGGTGGGACTGGTGTTCCTGCACAAGGGGTTGGGTGGGTCAGGTTTTTAATAGAGGTGGGAATGGTGTTCCTGCACAGGGGGGTTGGGTGGGTCCGGTTTTTAGTCAGGGGAGGGAGATGGTGTTCCTGCACAGGGGGTAAGGGAAGGAGCAGGTCTTTAGATAGGGATGGGGATGGGGATAGTGATGGGGTGGGGGTTGGGGGTGTTTGTTGTGTTTCTGCAACAGCAGTAATGTCAGAACACCCCAAGCGTAGGGCTGGACGGACTAGATGTTCAGAAATTCCTGAATGAATGGGTTAGCTAGGCCGGACGTGTGAGTGAAAAAGGGCATAGTTGGTATTCATGGGAAGGAAGAGTGTAGAGCGAGGGACAGTCAGTGTTCCTGGGGTAGAGAGAAAGGAACAGTTGGAGTTCTTGGGGTGGAAGGGTTGAGTGAGTGAGTTAGGTTTAACGCCGCTTTTAACAGTATTCCAGTTATATCACGGCGTGTCAGCTTAATGTGGGAGGAAAGCCCGAAGTGATGCAGGTATCAGACGTTTACCACTTCGGTGAAACCCACGAGCACGGGTATGGTGCTGACAAACCTAGAAACATAATCGGATCCACAATCATAGATTTCTGGCGTGCCCCAGGGGTGCAACTCTGCACAGCGAATCGCGGCGCCTTAGACGGCTGGGCTACCCGTGCCCCCAGGGTGGAAGGGTTGAGAAAGGGAGAAGGATGACAGTGGTACCAGGTTCTGAGTCTGTATAACATTAAGTAGAGTGATGACAAATTCACTCACAGTCATGAATAAGAGTGAGAATCCAATACCTAATTTCCATAGAAAAAGACTTTTATATGAATATTCTGTGGGCACTTCCTGAGGCTGAGTATTTGGGAAACC